TGTATATATACAGGAAGAGAATGAAACTAAACAGTGCGAAAAACTTAGCGTTTCGACAACAGTCACTTCGTTGGCACAAAGACCAGCAACGGTCCGCATTGGTAAAATCTAGCACGAAACCGGTTGCTCCAAACGACAGACTTTGTGCCACCGAAAACGCGATACACGCTTTGTACCGCAATGTCGCGTATACCATGTTCACATGATAAGACATGCAGAATACATCGCCCTGACGTGATATACGGCCCACACCGTTTCGCATCTACCATCTACGCCACTTTCTAAGCAAATAGCAATCCTAAGGGTGAACCATTAATAGTAAACCCTGCAGACAAGGAACTACCAATATTGCCAGCACCACCAGCAGCATCAGCAATTACTAATAAAACCTACACGAAATTCACAGACTAAGCCATGACTGATATGTTGGGTATCAATTCCAAGAAAACTGTTTTCATTAAAAAATAAAACAACTTTCCAAACCTCTAATGTACAATAAGTATATCTCGCTTTAAAAACCTCCCAAATAACAAAATGTCACTCCATACTCCCGCCCCCACCTCAAAAAAAAAAACAAATATTTTCCGGAATTACAAAAGTAACTGATAAAAAACGGCAAAAACTTTTCGATACACCTAACATATTTATAATCTGTATTACCCTCTCATGACGATATAATGTCGTCAAAACTATTTTGTAAAATATCGTCAAAAGAAGTTGGAACTGACATTTGATTCTGCTGAGTCGAATAATAGTTCCTGACCGTTGATTCCTACAATAAAAATAGTTTTAAAACATGTGGACTTCAATGACTTGCATTTTCAGAAAGTGAAGGGTGTTAAAGCATGTGCCCCTCGATTAAAACCAAGAACTCGTTAAAAAAATGTAAAGTCGGTTGAAATGATTGTTTCACTTCTCCCAAAGGTCAGACAATTAATAAAGCCTACAGTCACAGTGGCTAACTTACCCATGTTTCTAGATAACCTGTAACAGTTTTTGTTACACTAGGGTCAGCAAGGCGATCGTGAATCATGCTTTGTAGGTCGTCGAAGAAAAACGAATCTAAATCCTCTCATTATTTAATTTGGCAAAAGGATTGTAGTATTAAAAAGCTATAAAAATTAATTCTTAATCTTCTGAAACAAATGCAATAAAATATACTCACCAAGGTCGAGCGCAGCTCTCTCGGCAGAAACGCATCCATTCGGGTAAGCTTTAGGAACAACCAAGCGTAATGGCGGAACTGACTGTGACACTAAAAAATTAAGTTAGTTACTACCAACGTAAATATCAGTGTGAGTAAAAAACAATTTGTTAAAACTACTTACTTAAGCTACATTTCACAATTACTGAATGACCATCAGATGCCAATTCGACATTTGGATCAAACCTTATGCGATCTCTTAAACTTAGTAATTCCCGTCGAGCTTCTTCTGGTAGCTGTCCACCCACCTAGATAGTAACAATTAAATAGGAACAGGTAAATTTTAAAACACTCTGACAGCCTAATTAGAATTTTAAATTGTGCCTAGAAACGACCATACTACTCTTTAAATAAAGTTAGAAGATCTCTTTCCGATTCCGCCATACTATTTAAAACAGAGTAAACCCCAAGCAAAATCAAACCACGGGAGCAGAAGCCGGCTGCATAGACTCATACGGTGTAGGGAGAAAGTCGTCTACGTTTGAATAGAAATCATCTTGAACCTGAGTACCTACGGTTGGAACTTCAATGGATGAATCCATCTGCGGATTCATCCCACCCATAGTATTCTGAGACGCAGACGTCTTAAACGACAATAAAAATTACCTCGTTGTAAGCTTCGCTAGAAAATTTCAAAAATTCCTATTCATTCATCTGGCAGGAATTTTTACCAAATCTCGAAACTCCGAAAGTGGAAGAAAAAATTTTTCTTTATGAGGAAAGACGTGCCAAGACCCACGCTTCAACTTGGAGCTTTTTTATGCCTTATAACTACATGTTATCTTGAAACAAAATTAATTACGTTGAGCAAAAATTAATTTTTCTAACGTATCCTTGCAGATTATCAAAAAGAGAAACCGTTCTTGAAGTAAGCTGACGTACTGGTTGCTGATACTGTGGGCTGCTTCGAAGAGCTGTCATGGGATGAGGGTATGGAGAAGGACGCTGATAATGACTGTGGTCTAATGAGTGATGCATTTGCTGAATTCCCGGACTAACTGGAATCATTTGAGGAGAGTGCATCTGCGGCGACAATGGAACCGAATTTGGAACAGGTAAATTTGATATAGAGGAATTGATTGTTATTGGCGAAATCAAATTAGAGGGTGCATGATTAGGGGCAGGGTGTGGAGAATGCTGCTTGGGGGTAGGACCCCACTGAGTACACGAGGGCATGATTCCCTGAGACGACATTCTATCACTAGTATTTCCCTGAGAATCTCCATTTAAAAGAACTGCATTAACAGCTGCCACTAATGGTGTCTGAGACTGTTGA